TTGGAGTCCCACCAAGTCTCCATAATCCCCACAATGTCCGGCCCAGTGGTGTGTGGGAGTGGTGTAGTAGATGCAAGGGAAAGAAATGGAGGGCAGACCAGAGCCAAGGGGGTAGGGAGTGGGATGCCCTAGGATGGGAGGAAAGGATGTGGAGGCTTGGAGCCTCAGAGAGTGGGACAGTGAAAGGCTAAAAGGGCCAGTAGCAGAAGGGGCCTGGCTTAGTGGAGCCAGGGCCAGAAACATCTATAACCAGAAAAGTTTTCTTCACAATCTGGAATAGAGCTTGGCTTATCCTGCCTGCCACAAAGGGGAGCCTACCATTGCTCTCAGTTGCCCCGTGCTCAAGGGGCAGAGGTCAGTACAACACATATAAAGGGTTTAATTCTGCTGATGAACTGCGTAGTAGGCAGCATGGTTTCACATAACGGAGCTTGTTTATCTTTTCAGTTGTGTCCCAGAAATCTCTCCAGGAAACTGCATTTAAAAGCTACGTTAAGGAAAAGTGCAGGTTGCCATGATTCAAAAATTAAGAACTGCCAGCTCTCAGGTTTCCAGTACTGCTGGACGTTCTGTGGGGAGGAGTCTTTGTAGTGTGAGAGGGGGGTGAATCTCAGGGGCAGCAGAGGAGAGCAGTACAGTTGTGACAAACTTTCTAAGCAAATCCAGTTTGCTTAACAAGCATGGGCTGACGAGGTCCACTTGGGATTGTGGTAGAGTTGTACAAGTGTGTGTGGGGTGGGGGCATTCATACCCTTTCCATAACCCCCTGTCGCTACTAGGGGCTTCTGCCAGCACTGCTGTGCCAGGAAATCTGGAGTGTAGACCTGGCTTAAGCCAGCTTTAAACATAAAACCAGCTGCTGTCACAGCAGATTTTGAGCCGTCAGTGACTGATTGTTCAGACAGCTTGTTTTTAACACTTCAACATCTACTGCCAAAAGGAGAGCATTGTTAGAAATTCTTCCTGCTCTGCAGTTCAAAACTGAAATAGCCCATTCCAGTCTGACTGCCCTGACTTAGTTTCCAGAGTGGATTTTTTGTAGCCACTGACTTTTGTTCTCAGCCAGCTGGTAATCAAAGGGGCATGTTGCACGTACAGCTAACGTATCCTTTTACCAGGCTCGGCTGGGCCTGGCTGTGACTTGGTTCCCAGTCTGACCAAACGCTTCCTCTTTCGTTCCATACCAAGAGGGGCTAACAGGACTGTATCTGTGTTTGCAGATCTGGGCCTTTCGAGGTCAGTGCTGATCTTGAAGACTCCATGGAGTTTGTGGACCCCAGTGCTGCTGGTGAGACGGACGAGAGTGGAGATGAGCATGTCAGCGATGAAGAGACAGATCTTGGGACCGACTGGGAAAATCTGCCAAGCCCGCGGTTCTGTGATATCCCCTCGCAGCCGGTAGAGATGTTTCAGAGTCAGAGTACGCAGGTGTCCCAGCCCATTGCCAGCAGCAGTGCTGGTGGCATGATCTCTTCTGCTGCGGCCTCTGTGACCTCGTGGTTTAAGGCATACACTGGACACCGTTAATGAGCACACAGGACGAGTTCGCCAGACTAGTGGAAGGAATCCCTGCCCCAGCCGACGCTGTAGGAAACCTTTCCCTATTCAGTTAAGTAGTGCCTGGAACAAACAAAAGGTCAGACTTTAATTTTGTAAACCAGAAGAACCTTTTTATTTACCCAAGATGACTGTGACAGTAACATTTTGTAAATTTGCCACATACGCCCTTCTGACTTGGTCTCCGAAGGCACTTGGTGCCTTGGGCCCGTCTGCATTGCAGAGTCATGGAGAAGAGCCCTGCAGCAGATTCTGGTTTTTTACTTCCTAAAGAAGTGGATGTGCAATCCTTGGAGCAGGGCCAGGCATGGGGGGGAAGAGAGAGCTGCTAAATATTCTGGTTGTGCAAATACGCCCACACATGACGAACGTCTTATTAACTGGCTACCGGGTTGTGTTTGTGCGTGCGAAACCTGGTCGTAACACAATGCTGACAACAAAAATGCAGGCTCCCAGAATAGGGTTTTTTTTGGGGGGGGGGGGGGGGGTTTTGGG